AATGTGAAATTATTGTTTTGAGTTGGGAGATTATTTTAGTGATGACTGACTTGTGATTGTGATTTTTGATACGTGACTGTGACTTTTATATTGTATTATGGTTTGTAATGTGTAATTAATGATCTATGTAATTGATTGAAATAAATGGTAATAATAATAATAATAACCCCACCGACGTATCTCTACGTTGTCGACGTGGTGGGGCTTAAGGGCTCGGATCCCTAGTCTTATCTTGACTAGGGTAGGAGCCCGACTAAAAGAGATACAACCCAAGCCAAGGTTGCATACGCTGAGGGCTGCGTGGCTAAGGGGGTGCTTAGTCGAGAGTATGCCAACTCTGGAGACCAGGGGAACTCCAGTTTTATTTACCCTTGCCACAGTGAACGCAGGGCTCTGCTGTGGTCGACCTGTTTAGTCCCTAGCTACTCGTGGGAATAAAAATGATAACAAGATCGAAAGTAAAAAATACAATGCAGGCAAATGTGCCTCCAACAGATGTTGACACATCTACGGTGTCATTGTCATCCTCTCCGAGGTCCATTTTTTCATCAACTACACCATCATCACTCTCTATCACATCACGATCATTAAGATCATCGATTTCATCAACAAGGTCAGTGGACGTTGTAACGGAAGCTACTCCAGCTAAAAAACCGTCACCCGCTGCTGACTCTAAACATACGCGAAAAAAATGGAGTAAAGAAATGAACGAATTCATTTGGCGTACATACCTCATCATCACAAATTTAGAGACTGACACTAATGCTTATTTGAACACATTACACATAAAATTCACCCATCAATTCCCAGATATGGTAGTCTCCAAACAAAGAATTGGAGATCAAAGAAGGGCTATTATTAACAATAAGCTATTATCAACTACAGAACTTGATGCCATCAGACTGGAAGTAAGAAATTATCTACAAACACAGAATGGTACCATACATCAAGAAAGCAATCAATCACAACAACACCTAACAATGTCACAGACTGACCCACTAACACACACACAGTCACTCACAAAAACACGAATGAAATGGTCCAACGAACTCAACGAAACACTAATTAAATGTTACTTTGAAGTTACAAGAATGGAAACGGATTTGACTATGTGGAGAAAAAATCTGAAGGAGAAATTTGTTGAATGTTACCCACACTTGTCACACCTCTCAGAACAGCGCATATCAGACCAGAAAAGAGTAATTATGAACAATAAAATGATATCTGATACTCGTTTACAGATATTAAAATTAGCCATAGAACAAAAGTTAGGTGAAAGAGTAAGTCCGAGTTCATACCAAAATACGAGTAATACAAATTCAGAATCACAAATACACATAGAAAACATATACACACAACCAACATATTTAGGCGCGGATCAAATAAATAGTGGAGAAGAGCTAAACGATAATAATGATACCTCTATAAATCAACAACCTACACTTATTAATACTCACACTGAAACATACGAAAGGAATTCTGAAATAGATGAACAGTTCACACAAGCTTTGCAATTTTTCAATGAGACACATCCAACTAATAGGTGCTACATACCTAAACAAAGAACGTCAAAAAATTTTGCAAAAATAGTAGAGTACATTAATAAAGTGATATTACCAGAACATGTTAATATAAATACCGATTTTAATCAACTACAAACTATTATATACAGCGCTGCGTGGACGGCTGCGAAGGCTAATGGGAGTAGAGTTAATCTAGCAAATGCTGAAACTCAAATTAACCCACAGAAAGACTACAAACCCAAATGGCAAAAAAGACTAGAACGTAAAATAGACACGATTAGAGCTAAAATAGGAAGATTGACATACTACATACAGGGCCATAGAAGTAGGAAATTAGAAAAGGAAGTTAACAGGATACTTAGAGATTACAGAACACATACCACACATGAAGAACCCAATACACAACTTACACATTTTTTAGATACAATCAAACAGAAACTAGCAGTTTATAATAGTCGGCTAGGCAGATACAGTAAATGCACACTACGGAAAACACAAAATAATCAATTTAAAAATAATGAAAAACTATTTTACCGTACACTAAAAACATCAACATCTAACAACACAACATCAAATAATACATCGCAAACATCATTTCCTACGGGAGAAAGTTTGCAACGAGTTTGGGCAGGAATATGGCAAAATCCGGTTTGTCATAATGATGAGGCAGGGTGGATAATGGACGAAATAAGTAACCATAACCATATCCAGCAAATGCAATTTGAACAAGTAGATATTGAGACATTTCACAATGCTCTCAAAAAGGCTCACAACTGGAAAGCACCAGGTTCCGATCATATTCACAATTACTGGTACAAGAAATTCACAACTGTTCACCCACACCTATATAACCACATCAACGATTTTATTAAAGACCCCTCTAACATTCCCTTATACATTACCGAAGGCATCACCTACATGCTGCCAAAAGACCCAAACGACACAATCAACCCCGCCAAATATAGACCTATAACCTGCTTGCAAACAATTTACAAAATAATAACGTCATGCGTAGCCCATATTATTTATAAACACATAGATAGCCAAAACATTCTGACAGAAGAACAAAAAGGATGCAGAAAATTTAGTCAGGGATGCAAAGAGCAATTAGTTATAGATTCGGTTATTCTCAAAGATGTGCAGCGACATAAGAAAGACCTATATACAATGTATGTCGACTATAAAAAAGCATACGACTCTATCCCTCACTCATGGCTGCTTCACATTTTAAACATTTATAAAATACACCCACACATCACACACTTTTTGGAAAATATAATTAAGACATGGCAAACCCGACTACACTTGAATACACCAATAGGAACAGTACACACAGAACTCATAAAGATTCAGCGCGGTATCTTCCAAGGAGACTCGCTTAGTCCTTTATGGTTCTGTCTAGCCTTAAACCCACTTTCGAATAAATTGAATTCCTTGGAACCCGGATTTCAACTTAAATATAGGGAAACGGGGACTACCACGACTATACAGACCGACCACGAAAATTGTAAAATAAATCATTTACTTTATATGGATGACATAAAACTATATGCGTCCACCCCGGAAGATCTACATCGATTAGCGGACACCACAGAAATATTCTCAAATGATATTGTAATGGATTTTGGAATAGATAAATGTAAGATTAACTCAGTCAAATCAGGAAAAACTTACACTCATTCATATCAACTACAGTCAGGTGAAAATATTGCTTCTTTAGATGAAAACGGCACATACAAATATTTAGGTTACATACAAGCGAAACAGATCCTACATACACAAATTAAAGCCCAACTAACCAAGCAGTTTAAACATAGATTAAAAGTAATATGCAACACTCAGCTAAACTCCCGAAACACAATTAAAGCCATAAACACATATGCTATACCAATCCTTACGTATTCCTTTGGCATTATAAATTGGTCCAAAACCGGGCTCCAAAATCTACAGCGTAGTATCAATACCACACTTACAAAACACAGGAGACATCACCCGCGATCATGCCTACAAAGACTCACTCTGCCAAGAAGTGATGGCGGAAGAGGCATTATAGATATTACCAACTTGCATAATAAACAGATTAATACCTTAAGATCCTACTTTTCCAATAAAAGCTCTGTCTCCACTTTACATAATGCAATAGTTCAATGTGATAAAAAACTAACACCCTTAAATATGGCTGATCAAGCAACACAGAACAACGAAAGACTGACTGACCGACAAACTAAAATCTCTGAATGGGCCCAAAAGTCATTACATGGGAGACACTACCACGACCTTAGCCAACCTAACGTCGATAAAGTTGCATCGAACGAATGGTTAAGGCGTGGTGAATTGTTTCCCGAGACTGAAGGGTTCATGATCGCGATTCAGGACCAGGTAATAGAGACACGCAATTACCAGAAGCACATCATGCATCTCCCATTAACAACTGATACCTGCAGGCGATGTAATAGTGCATCGGAAACCATCCAGCATATTACAGGCGCTTGCAAATCCATAGTACAAACCGATTATAAGCACAGGCATGACCAAGTAGCAAATATCATTCACCAAAAAATGGCTATAAAATATAATCTAATTTCTTCCCCCCAGTACCATACTATAAATATCAACCGGAGACTGTGCTTGAAAATTCATCCCATAAATTATACTTTGATCGAGCCATCCTCACTGACAAAACCACTCATTACAATAGACCAGACATTACCCTAATTGACAAAACTAACAAAACTGCACAAATTATAGACATAGCCATACCAAACACCCACAACCTACAAAATACAATAGCCGAAAAACTTTCTAAGTATACGGACCTCAAAATTGAAATAGCCAGAATGTGGCGACTCAATAGTGTCACTATCATTCCCATAGTACTTTCAACAACAGGTGATCCAAAACAACTCCATAATTCAATAAAATCTCTAGATCTCCCGCCTTACACATACCAAAGTCTACAAAAAGCTGCTATTTTAAATACTTGCCATATAGTTAGAAAGTTTTTGAATGAAACAGATGTTTCGTATACCCACACCCAAAATTGAGACAACTAAGTGGGTTAGCACTTGGCTTCGGCCCGTACTAACCCTCAAACCCGGCCTTGTAGCCGAGCTAAGATAAAAGAAACAACGAATAATAATAATAATGTCAAAATATTTACATAAATTTAAGTGATTTTGGAGATTCATTTAATGTTTTGTCTATCTATAGACTTGTAACTGGTCTTTATTTAATTGTTGATATAGAAATAGAATTGAACTCTTTAACTGAATATTTGATTTATTTTTACTGTAGGACACATTTTAAAAATGTAAGATTGGTGCAAAAATTGATATATATATATAGATAATTTTTGACACAGTTTTTAATTTTGCAATTTACAATTATGTGATAGTTAATCTAATAATCGATTTCATTGGAATCCTTGACGCACTTGATATTGAACCAGTTTGTATAAATTATAATTTCATAACTTACCATCAACCATCATCATGCCTTTCATTCCTCGAAGGCATTTTGCCAATTATGTTGTAAGTTTTAATATAAATAAACAAGCCTATATCTAAAAATCTAAATAAAAAACACATGAACATTAACTGTCTCGTTAATTGAATGACTATATCGTTTGCGATTTTCAATTTGGACAAAATACTTATTATTGGGTGTCTTTGTAGTTTTGGGAATTCTCATCAGCATTCACACGACATGGAATCCGAAATTGATCTTGGTGTATAGCAATGGACATATAGTACACTGAATTTGACCTTTTTTAAGGGGTAAAAATCATCGAATGCGTTTTCCCGCCTGGGTGAGGCGGGAGGGAATGTCAGACTGTTACTGACTAAAAACCACCCCGTTCCTACTCCTGCACTTCGAGCCGGAGCCCCGGTAATCCGTTAGTTTCTCTGCGGCTGCGTATCGGCGCATCAGCCTTATTGGGCCCCATCCGTGGTGGTCTGATAGCTCTTCAGAACGCGACGCGACGTACGCTTGGGATCTTTGTAGTTAAAAAATTTTCGTCAGCTTCAACACGTCAATATTGCAATTGACTTATCCCCTATTATTCAGAATTTGACCTCCGGTCACTTCACTCACACGACAAAACACAATGCAAGCGTTGTTTCACGTCGATTTTCTGTGAGGCCGTGGTATCACTCTGAAGCATGGCTCTCCCACCCTAGTACATATGTGTTTAAGTTAACACACATACATACAAGTGTGTAAAGTAACTTAAACACATGTGTATAAGTATGGGACAGCCATGCTGCCATGAGTGTTGCATTTCGTGTCGCGGGTTCGAATCCCGCACGGAGCAACTCTTCGTGTTATCCATAAATTCTTGTTCCTGATCTAAATGTTATGTGTATGTGAACTTGTATGTTTGTAAACGCACCCACGACACAGGAGAAAATCATAGTATGGGGCAACGTATTAAAAAAAAAAGACTTACATTATTTCCGACATATTGTCATATAATACAAGTATCAAGTGTCTATTCTATACGCACAAAATAAAAAATCTAACACAACTATTTATATACCCAGTATTACACTGAAATCTTTAACCCTTCCCAGCCGACTATGATTTCCAGTGACCCATTTCCTTCAATTTCCTCTCACGAGCCGGGGTGTGATAAGCAGTCATACTCTACATAACTTTAGGGCTAAATATAGCCAACATGTAATAATATTAGGTACGGGATTGTTATGTACCTACAGCGATTTAGTGTTAAGTTATTTACGTATAGTTGGAAGCTTAGGTCGGTATTTCGAAGGGATTTTGGTATCTACTTGAATTTAATTTTCTGTATTATATATAACATCACGCCTTTTATCCCCGAAGGGGTAGGCAGAGGTGCATATTATACGACTGTACAATGTAACACCCACTTTTCACTATTGATGTTATGAGCCCCATGTAATAGAGGATGAGCCTATTGCCATATACCGGGCACAATTCCAGACTCCGTGCTTCTACTAAGATTTTTTTAAAACCCAGTAATACTTTGCCCGATCCGGGAATCGAACCCGAGACCCATTGCCCGGCAGTAGCACTTGCAACCACTCGGCCAAAGAGGCCGTCGAAGTAGGATTATGTCGGTAGATTTTGACAAAGAAGTTAAAATTTTTACTTAAACTTTAATAAAAATTTATAACATTTCTATTTCTCGTAGCCAAATCTTCTACCAACTTACTGACACTAACTATAAAACAATCATCAATACCACAGTGACGTACAAACGAATTTAGCTTAAAATCGCTTCAGAAGAGACGTGGAACTCACGTTCTGACTCCCACCTGTGGCTCCCTCTAGCCGATCTAGGACAGATTACATCCAACGCTACCTACAGCAAAGTTTAATTGGGTTTTTGTCTAACTGTGTCCAATCAGGCTCGAAACTCCGATAAAGGGAGTGGATCAGTCTAATCTAGGAACTGGACTGGACTAATGAAAGTGGATATGATTTCTTTTTTTTATGGGATAAGCCGGCAAACGAACAGACGGATCATGTGATGGTAAGCAATCGGCGTCGCCGACAGACAAGATCTGATGGCGATACAAGTGCTTTGCTAGTCTTTTGGGAATAAGAATCTGAGGATTGTAGGGGATTCGGATTGAGGTGAACGGGGAGAGGGGTAATAGGGCCTCCGGTAACCTCACTCACACGACGAAACGTTGCTTCACGTTGGTTTTCAGTGAGCCCGTGGTATCACTCCGGTCGAGCCAATCAGTTCGTGCCAAAGCATGGCTCTCCCACACTCCTCTTAGCTTAGCTTGTTGTAGTAAATACGTAAATATACTTAAACAATACATAGTTCCTTTATTACATTACTTTATAGATGCAGCAATAAGTAAAGTTGATATGTTCTTCATATTAGTATGTATTTGTTTTACCCACATATCGTGCTCAATACAATCTATAATATTGAATATTACTTAAACTGACGATATCGCTGCTAGGCAGTCATAGAAATAGTTCTCTTATTAGTATTTTCCAGGAAAAGCTCTTATGAAGGAATCCTTCCAACGGGTTCAAACATAAAGTAGTACATCACCTATGTACTATGTTAAAACCTAGGTACAGTGGCCAGTACCAATCTACTCCAATCTGTCTCATTGGATTTTCGACTTTATGTTAGTATAATAAAGTTGAAGATGTAATAGAGAAATTTGACAGAAACCGATAGGTTGACCTGCCGGCCACCGTACTTTGTTTTATTATTTTGTGCCTAGACAAGTGACAATCGATTTAACTAAAATCGCGGGTTACTCACGTGAATATACTGCGAATGCTCTACTAGTTTCGAACCACAGAGGGGTTCTTCCTCATGAGCAGCGTGCGCAGTCGCGGCGACGCCGCGCGTGCGAAACCCGCTATTTTAGTTAATTTAGTATGTCCCACGATAGTTATTATAAAGACAATTGATTTGGAATGATTGCAAACGAATGAACTTTATACAATGTATGACTTGTTATGAAGGTAATATTATATTTTGGAAACATACCTATGTCAATTTTACATTTTACCCCCATACTATTACTTATAAAATTATTATCAATATCGACTTTTTATCTATAAAATTATTATCAATATTCACTTTTTAAGCGTAAATAACAACAATCTGTTAATGTAAGCAATGAAGTAAAAACTTCATAATCGACATGAATGAATAATTTTCATATTTCACCTTCGCCATTTCCAGTACCGAAATATAATAGAAATATTATATTTTTAGATCGCTATTGTCAATTAAAAAAGTCGTCGACAGTAAAACGTCAATTCGCGGGTTTCCGAACGGCAGCCAATGGCAATTTGCATGCTTAATGCCGCCGCCATCGTGCCACAGATTATAATATTTTTTAACCAAAAAGGATAGAATACTTTTTGTCATAGATAATTTAAAATTGCGCGCAATTTCTATTTCTTGGAATTTTAGACTTTGCCAACTTATTGTCTATCAAAAGTAGGTAAGAAAAGTAGCCTAGGAATGTAGCAATTTTATATTTTAAAAGAAAATGAAGTAGATAATAAAGTATTTTAATTAACGTTATTGTTTTAGTTGCTATGTAACGACAAACAAGGACTTCGAAATAAAAACGCGGCCATAATGTCACTTGAAAGTGATTGAAGCACAAAAATGTCAGTGGGTTATTTATGGTTACCACGTTACCAGACTTAAGAAAATGACAGATGTCCTACGTGTCAATGTATTTATGTTCTGCGTGTAAGTCTATAGTAGCCAGGTGCCACAATTGTTGTTTCACGAGACTGTGTCTGTGTCTGTGTCTTTGTGGATATTTTTTCAACGCACTTGACGACAAAGAAAATTTGCGCAGCAGAAGTCATAACTACGATACAGATAAAAGATATAATTTTAACAACATACTAACAGCAAAAAATCTCAGTTCTACGATAATGGCTTTATATAGATAAGGCACTAATATTTTAATCCTTTTTAAATGCAATAAGTGATATGGTACACGATGCTCCACATCAAGCTTTACATAACCAGTATAAACTGAACGTTAAATATGGGGAAAGATGATGCGACGCAACACCAGGATACACTGGTTCTGTATAGATTGATGTGTGGCCGTGTGTACATTTATCAAGTGGCTAAATTGTCATCATAAAATATCTCAGTTTTAATTAAACACTTGCGTTATATTGCTAGTGTGATTAGATTCTACGGAACAAATTCAATGTCAAACGAATTCCTCGTCAAACAGTTACGTAAGTAAGCCGAAAACATCATAATTAATGTCAAAAGAATTAAATAATTTCTAATTAAACTAGCTTTCCACATGTGTATTCTCTCGTGTGATGGTAGAAGCAATTAATTTCACTATTCAACGTAACTTTCTAAATAGGTACATCCAAAGATGAATACTACCTATAATTTATAATTATTTATTTAATTTCCCAATTCATACTTATGAATCTTAAAATTATGTTCTCAAGTCTAGAAAATAAATAGAATCAGTAAGGTAAAAAACGCGCATAATATTATATTTATTTATTTATCTATTAGAAAGAGTACCACCATCACAAACATATAATGTGATCATCTGTGGTTCGAAACTAGTAGAGCTTTTCTCAGTATTTTCACGTGAGTAAACCGCGATTTTTAGTTGATTTTTAGTTAATATATGTAATGTGACATTTAAAATACACAAAAAACTAAAGTATTGGTCTGATGCACATGCATCAATTACAATTATTGTCACATGACAATAATGGCGTACTTAGATTAGCTATTCATCGGCTGAACAGTGGTTTAAAAATGGAATACAATTCGCTTAATTAGAGAAAAAGAAAATGGAAACGAAAATTCATACAACACATACCTTAACCTGTGGTATGCCGAAATGTAGATATACGAGAGACGCAGATTATATTTTCTATTGTCTCTCATATAAGCAGATAAAAAATGTCGAAATACTCAAACACTACTCAATTTTAATTCGCGCTTAAGTACATAGTTCTGTC